CAGCTCTGTTTGACACTACTGCTGTGGATGCGGCCCGCAGTCGGTGCGTTGAGGGGTGTCTAGGCTAATCAAAAGACGGTTTTGCCTTGCCTTTTTCCTTCGTCCCCATTCTACCTCCAGAAGTCTGCACCTGCACCTGCACCTGCTTTCTTGTTTGCAGTAAAATATCAATCAGAGCTGTTGCGGTTGCCTCAGGGACTTTCACTTGGAAGTGAAGGAGTTGCTTGCGTCAAAGGACCCCACCTACCGAGCTTCATTCGCAGCAGTCTGGAAGGAAAGCATAAAGGAGACCAAACCTGCAGAGGACCCTTGGATGAAAAGGGTCAAACTTAAGACTCGTTTCCTGCTTTCAGGGCTTTGCTTCCAAAAACTTGACGGTTACCCCTGCATGGTTGAATTTTGAAACAACCTCGCCACAAGGAAGATCCATTCTCAAGAGTTGATGAACAGCTGCAGAACCTAACAAAGGATGCACGATTCTTGGTTGATCAAATCACATTTTGTCACCATACACCTTGTCATAATTTAATCATCTTTTGCCAATTAGCTTACATTAGCCCACATTAGCCTACTATACTTTTTGCGAGAGACAGCGTCTGTCAGGAAAAGCGGCATATGATCGGGACGTCTTGCAGTTTACACGCGACTGCGCCACGGTGGGCAGGCTGTTTGAGGCAGACCAGAAATGTGAGAACCCCGCCTTCAACTTAGTCAGTTTTGTTTTGGCACAGCGGCACACCCCCAAGAACCATCAAGTTAAGGTGGCATCCATTAGCACATCTAATCCAATGCCTTTGAGGGTCTTGATTTGGTCTTTTGAGGCTGTGTTTTTTGTTAAAGGTCAGCTCCCAGCATCCCCCAACCAGCCTTGTCATGGAAGGAAAAGCAAGCGGACAGCTCGAATATTACACCTCCAGAGTCAGAATATGATCGGCGCCTCTCTCGTAAAGAGCTACATGGACTCGAAAGTGTGCTTCAAGACAGGGCTATGGGGTGAAGATTTGGATGTGACCACTGCAGTTGACCAGGACTGGTGTTGATGAAACCTGATGAAAACCCTAATCCATGGTATTTTGTGTTCATGATACATCATGGTTCTGACATTGGTTGGGCAAGCATGCTTCTAAATCCTGAGATGGTGCACGATATGGCTGACAAGGGCGGTGGCATCATCATTTGGCAAGATTTCACCAAGCTCGGCAAAGTTAGCGGCAAAGAATTGAACAACTTCACTGACATGATTTCCGGAATGCTCCGATTGCGACCAACAATGAGTGCAGCATTTGTCACAGCACCCATCCTGATCTCAGAGAAAATCAGCAACAATATTCGTGACGAAATGCGTCGCTTCGAGGACAAATTCGATGCGAAGCACTTGGCAAACTACATGGTGACCCTGAGAATGGAACTTCCTCCGCAAGCAAAGAAGGTGCCCATCATTTTTCAGGGTTGGCTCCTCATTGACCAGTCCACTGAGAGTGACAATATCTTTGCTTGCAGCCAACTTGTCCAAGACAGGTGAGGGGGGCTTGCAATGTACCACTCAATGTACCAATGCTCAGCGTCTGGATGTTTTGTGATGTATACTTGCGCATGAGCAGGGGCGTGAGACTTGCTTTACTATTAAACGGAAGTCACAGTAATCCATGGTGCATGAACAAAGATGTGCATTATGATAACACTAAAGATCCAGACCTGAAATTGACATCCGGTTATTTTGTAGGGAACTCCCACCAGGATGCAAAGGGGTTCAAGAGTTATGTGCATCGTCAGTTCCATGCCCCTGGTAGAGGTCACCACGCAAGATGATACCGTTTCAGCCAGAAACATCATACATCGTCCCCACGGCGGAGCGGGATGCACTCCCTCATGCATCCGAAGGAATGAGGCAAGGAGTCAAATCAAATCCTGATACCATTTAAAAACGGTATATCATGTTTGTTCAACCATTCCACTTTAGGATGATCTAAATATGAAACTGACATAAAATAGATCTTGCTCAAGCTGCTGCCTCTCGCACTGGCCTCACTAACCCAACATCCTCCAACTCCCGCCCACTGAGTTCTCTGGCGCAGGTCTCTCTCGGAGTTCCAGGAGACAGCGCAATACCTTTCGGGGTTGAGCTTTCCGGAGGCAATACTGGCTTCATTAACAGCCAAAGCAAAGCTGTCGTCCAAGCAGTTGTGCATCATCAACTGCACTACCTATGACTGCTGGCTGGAGCGCGCTTGCATGAAGTGCCTTTGCTGCGCTTGCACTTAATGTTGTGGGGCTCAACTTTTTTATTTTATGGTCATTTCAGAGGCAAACAAATCCAGGTATCCTTTAATTCCTTATGGTTGCAGGATATCACGAAAACCAAATAGAGACAGGTCGGACACTTTACCTGGCTTTGAGATGAAGACCCTCAGCTTTTCAAAGCAAGCTGGGGTGGTGGAATTCTGTGAGAAAAGCATTGCCATGGACCTAATTCAGGACTGGTGTTTTCAAACCAAGTGAGGTGACACACACACTCACACTAAATAACAAGCTCTTAGGTAGCCTGCTGACTGTTGTGTCTGTAAAGCTTCTTTGAGTACCCCTGGAGGCTTGGAAGAGTGGCAAGCATGGCATGGGGAACGTGCGACCCTACGAGCCCCACATGGTTGACTCAATGGACGATGTGAAGCTCAGCGATTTCAAGTTCAAATTGCTGAGTGTGGAGCTTGTGGACGGCACCAAGAACAAGTTCAACCAGAAGTACTCCATAACTTTGCCACCGCAGATCAGGAGCCGGTACGCTGATGATGTTGTGTTTAGATCTGAATGGCGCAGTCTTCTGAATAGCTTTGATGAGAAGTTTTCTGGGTTGCACTTGAGAACCGCTGTAAGTTTTGGGGGCCCCTTCAACATCATCCAGGGTTTGTGTAGCCTGTTACAGGTTACAGCCTCATCCCAACACCGCCAGCCTCAGGTTCAGCACCATCGACGTCGTGAGCGCAGAGAGCGATCCACCTGATGAGAAGGCGGTTGAACCGGAACTACCCCCATGGTTGAACGAGCCAAAGGACATCAACGGGGTTCTTGAACGGTACCATATCGAAGCAAAGGTAACTGGACGATTGGCTGGGACGACTCTCTTCCTCGTCCAGGCCAAAGACCGTTCAGGAAAGTGTGAGACTTGTCAGTGTGAAGTAGGTGTGGCAAACCACTTTTTCAACCATTCATAATAAGCTAACTGGCTTAGTCACTTAGTATTAGACTATCTTGTTTGATATTGTTTGCATTTCTCACCCCTGACCCATCAAAGGAAGACGTGGAGGAGAGGCAGGAATGGAAACTGTTCCTCGTTTCCTGGCTACAAGAGAGATCGCAATAGCTATCTAACTGTTTTCTAACAAATGCGAACACCTCGTGATGAACATATTTAAAATTAGATCTTGTTTTGAGGCCGCGCATGTGCCGGTGGAAATCGGCACTGAGCAGTTCATTATTGGCCATGGAAATTCAAGGTTCATCAAGCATGACAAGGTCCAGGACATGAAAAGAAAAGCGAGAACAGGACCCTCGCGATGAGTGTTCTTGTCTTGTTCTTGGACAGGTATTATACATTCTTGTTCTTGTCGAGAGTCATTCTGAACAGGGTTGTTCGGGACACGCGTATTCCTTGCAAGTGTGCCTTCCCCGCTTCAGCATCAAGCTGGTATCATTGAAACGAGGCCGGCTGGTTGACCAGGTCATTTGCAGGTCTCACTCGTGATCACTCGTGTTCCCCACCCGGCAATGGTGGCATTGGAGGATTTGCTAGCTCAACATGGCTTTGAACAGGACCGCAAGCTTGTGTTCCACTCATTGCCAGCAGTGCAACACACACACACACGTTCCCAGTCATTTTTGTTTCAATAGGGGTTACAAAAACCAGGATTTTACGGCGCTTGCAAAGACGGATGAATCTTTGACACAGACTCCGCCTTGCAAACCGGCGTAGGGCTTGGGATTTTGGATAGTTTCTGTCAGCTCATTCGATCTCATCGCACAGTCCTGGCAGACGTTTCTACCCAGGCCATCTCCCCGCCAAGCTCTACGACCCCGCAGTCTTTTGGGGGCAAGGAGCAGGACTAGTATTTACTGGGGGTTCAAATTCGATTCATTTCGATTCAATGATTGACATGTCTGGGTTTTTCTGCGTTCACAAGTTGGTAGGAGTCACCGGGTCCAAGCGCTGCATCTTCTGCTGCAAAGCCTACTATGCCAATACGAACATCGGAGTCCAATGAATCAAACAATCCTTCTCTTTCCGCTGAGAGAATCCAAGCTTTGCAGAAGGTGGTTGAGGATGCAAAGAAGCTTTCGAAGGCAAAAGGCAAAGAAGAGAAGACCGAGAAGACCAAGGAAAAGAATGACAAGGCTGCTAACGCTGATGATCACAAAAAGGAGGTTCGTGAGGGGACGATTCAAAAGGATGGTCTACAGCAGAAAGAAGCAAATGAGCCCAAGAATGGCAAAAAGGGCGATGAAGAAGTTGCAGAAGTCCACCCAGAGATGACAAAGTCGCAGAATGAAAAGACACCCAAGGAGCCAGAGCCTGAGAAGAGCCGAGTTGCCAAGGCATTGTTCCATGAAGCCCCTAAGAAGAAGGAGGTCAAAAGCACCAAGAATGACAAAAAGAG